TGCTTAAAAGATGGGGGTAGAGAACAAATCAGTTACACGGCTTGATCCTCATCTTTAATTTCAGCATCTATATTACTCAAATCCATAAGAATGAAATCAAAGGTGTCAAAATGAGAGAGAATAGAGGTACATTCACCCATACATATTGTATAAAGCTTCTGCTTCATGTAAGTCTATTTTTCACCGTCTTCTTCATGTATAAGGTTTTCAATTTTTCCCACATGCCTTTGGCTGTGGTTTCTACAAAACTTTCACGTAAAATCTAATTTGAAAGATCTAAAATGATACATGCTTTTGCCTTTTTGTTTATAACGGCAAACTCCTCGTCCGTCATTTTATCTGACTTCTTATCCTTTCCTTGCAACGCCAAATCTAAGCCATCCTGAATTAGGATAGATTCCATCTTTAATTGCCACATTTCGAATTTTGCACTTCGATCAAATTTCACAACATAAGTCTTTGTTAAAGTCATATTGGCTACTGAAACTAACCCGATTAGATCTGGCTCTGATACCAATTTGTTAGGATCGAGAAATTAGGTAGTGTGAAATTTAGTCAAACAACGTTATAATGATAATAACAAAGACAATGCAAGTTGATAATAATGACAATTAAAGCAGATAAAGAAGATACCAATTTATTGTGGTTCGATAAGTGTGACATACGCCCACAAGCGGATAGGAGCAATTTCACTATACCAGCAAGAGTACAAAAAAGAGTACAAAATTAGAATAAATACTCTAATTAATCTCAAATAGCCTAAGAGAATAACCTCACAAGATAACTCCAAAGAAAAGGTTCATACAAGTGTTTCCCAACACCCAACTCTCTTACAAATTACACTTAATAAATAAAGAAGAAGAAAGAAAGACAAGAGTGAAAATCTCTTGAATTGATGTGTTTAAAATGAACTAATGGCCTTTCCTTTTATAGGTAAAAAAATATTGGCCTCTTAGTTATAAAAAAAAATACAATTTGTGCAAATGATATCTACCACACAATGCAATATTTTTGGATCCCAAAGAATATTGTCAACAAAGTCTACTATGCAAATAGGCTTATGCTTATGTGAGATGAACTCCATTAGCCAAAATATTGTCCATAATTACAAATCTCCACCTTGGCCTAATTTTGGCTGATATAGTAAATTTGCTTCACCTTCTCCGCAAAAGCCCCAATGAACATATGTCAAAATTTAATGCCATCAAAATCAGACAAGTTGTCTAATACAGAAACTGTAGTAGGGCCTATAACAGTGGATCCCAATAAAATATACAACGAACCAGATCTGTGTACTTCCATGATTACAAGAGCACCTTGAAAAAAATTTAAAACTCCACCTTCACCAGTGAATTTACACCAAAGGGATTCTAAAGCACCCAAAGAGATGAGATTTTTCTTCAACTCAGGAACATATCTAACATCGGTGAGAATCTCAACACACCATCGTGCATTCTGATCTGAATTGTACATTTGCCAATAACGTTACCAGTAACATTATTACCCAGTTGGACAACTCCATCTTCAATTGAATCATATGTAGAAAACAAGTCTCTGTTATGACACAGATAATATGAACAACCAAAATCTAAAAACCACTCATTGTCTGATCTGAAACCAGTTTCAGTTGCTAAAAATATAGTTCATTCAATCTCATTAGTTGCTACACTAGCTTCAGCGGTGTCAGTATTTTTGTGCTCATTTTTTCTTTCTTTATGCTTTTCTTTATTTTTCAGTTTATAGCATTCAGAGATAATGTGACATTTCTTATGACAATAGCGACACTCTAAATTATTGTATCTGGATATGGAGTCGGATTTGCCACTAACAACAAGCCAACTTCCGCTTGAGTTTCACTAGCTTCCCTAGTAATATCACTATTTATCTGTTCTTTTGATTTTAAGATAGATTTAATATCCTTATAAGAGATATTATCCTTTGCATAAAACATAATATCTCTTATATGCTTAAACGATGGGGGTAGATAACAAAGCAGTAACACAACTTGATCCTCATATTTAATTTCAGCATCTATATTACTCAAATCCATAAGAATGGAATCAAAGGTGTCAAGATGAGAGAGAATAGAGGTACCTTCACCCATACGAATTGTATAAAGCTTTTGGTTCATGTAAAGTCTATTTTCCACCGTCCTCTTCATGTATAAGGTTTTCAATTTTTCCCACATGTCTTTGGCTGTGGTTTCTACAGAAACTTCACGTAAAACCTCATTTGAGAGATTTAAAATGATACCTACTTTTGTCTTTTTGTCTATGACGGCAAACTCCCCGTCCATCATTTTATTCGACTTCTTCTTTTTTCCTTGCAACGCCAAATCTAAACCATCCTGAATTAGGATAGCTTCCATCTTTAATTGCCACATTCCGAAGTTTGTACTTCGATCAAATTTCTCAACATAAGTCTTTGTTAAAATCATATTAGCTACTGAAACTAACCCGATTAGATCCGGCTTTGATACCAATTTGTTAGGATCGGAAAATCGGGTAGTGCAGAATTTAGTCAAACGTTATAATGACAATAACAAAGACAATGCAAAATGATAATAACGACAATTAAAGCAGATAAAGAAGACACCAATTTAACGTGGTTCGATCAGTGTGACATGCGTCCACAAGCGGAGAGGAGCAATTTCACTATACCAGCAAGAGTACAAAAGAGAGTACAAAATTAGAGTAAATACTCTAATTAATTCCAAATAGCCTAAGAGAATAACCTCACAAGATCACTCCAAAGAAAGGGTTCATACAAGTGTTTCCCAACACTCAACTCTCTTACAAATTATTCTTAATAAATAGAGGAGAAAGAAAGACGAGTGAAAAGCTCTTTAATTGGAGTGTTTAAAATGACCTAACAACCTTTTCTTTTTATAGGCAAAAAGCCTTGGCCTCTTAGTTGTAAAAGAAAAGATACAACTTATGCAAATGATAACTACCACAATGCAATATTTTTGGGTCCCAAAGAATATTGCCAACAAAGTCTAGTTTGCAAATAGACTTATGCTTATGTGAGATGTACTCCACTAGCCAAAATATTGGCCATAATTACATAATTGTTCCATTTCCACTTCTAGCGATTGTTTCCACTCGAGTCTTCTAAAATAATAGTCGATCTTCCTCTGATAATTTTCTTTCTCCTCCTGCCATAACATCATCAAATTTTAGATAAAGAACCAGCGCATAGAGTACACCTAAGGATGGTGTTAAATAACTTGAGCAAAGATTTATAGCTCGCAGCTTTTAACAAATCTTGATCTGCTTTGCAAAAATTGGTCCAGACCAAAATCTTCACTGGAATTCATGGGCAATAATATTACTTGAGTTCTATTGGTTTGCTACGTAATTGTAAAGCCGTGGGTAGTCATGACATAGCAAAAGAAACAAACCTCTACATGAAACTGAAAACAGATTCAATTTGGTGATAGCTATTTTGAATCTTTGGTTACTAAACTGCTACTGTAGAAGACTTTAAGCATCCAACTTAAAGACCCAACATGTGACAGCATATTTTAGGAAAGAAAGGGGTCCAAATACATAACCATTAAAATTTATCCATATTCCCCCTAATGTAATTAATACTATTCTTCTTCTTTACCCTATTTAGGCATTCAATTTTCTTTACCATTCGAGAAGGACTTTGGTATATACAATCCAATGATCCAGAATCCCTACTTGTACATAGAAGACGGAAAGGTCCAACAGACTCATTTCAATTCCTTCTCATGTCTTTCATATTATGTCTCATGAGAGATTTTATCATGCTACTATCTCAGAGGTGCTTGGAAATTGGGATGAAGAGCTTCCAAGTTCAACATTACACTTGTGATGTTGTCAATCACATCACAATGGGAGATGAAGTGGCCCTTGCCAAGATCAACAATGGAATTGCTTCTTTGCTCGAATAGAAAGGGGCTATCTAAACATTTAAAGAAGACCTAGAACACTGTAACTGCTGCCATCTGGTGGTGGATTTGGAAAGAAAGAAATAAAAAGGGCAGCCTGGTGCACTAAGCTCCCCGCTATGCGCGGGATCCGGGGAAGGGCTAGACCACAAGGGTAAATTGCACGCAGTCTTACCCTGCATTTCTACAAGAGGCTGTTTCCACGGCTCGAACCCGTGACCATGGCAACAACTTTACCAGTTACGCCAACGCTCTCTTCTGGAAAGAAAGAAATAAAAGATGCTTTAAAAGACAAAAGGAGCTCTATCTGGAAAATCTTATCTGACTGTATGTTTATGGTTTCTTTTTGGTGTAAATTGGATTTAGTTGAAGAAGCCAATGCCCTGGCTACACTTTATACAATCATTTGTATAGTTAGTCAGGGTTTACTTTCTTAGTGCTGACTTTTAACATCAATAATACTTACCTCTTCAACCCAAAAAAAAAAAAAAAAAAAAAAAAATGATTCCAGTGCCACTGAATCTCTATATTTTTGAGAATGGTCAGATTTGAAATAAAAAGATGTAGAACAACACTAAGCTAGCGTTTGGCCATAGATTCCCAAATTTGTTCTAAAAAATCTGATTTGGGTGAAGTTTGGTTTGAAGATGAAAATGTGCTTGGACATCAGTTTTCAAAACATAAACTACATGATACACTATCAAGTGACCGAGAAGACGAAGCATCATTGTTATAAAATAATAAATGGTGGACTCTTTTATAAAATACAAAAGTTTGGGGCAATTTTTAAAATATGTAATAGTAATATTTTGGCCCAAAACCAGCTATTGAGCTGGTTTTGGGATTTGGGATTTGGGATTTGGGATTTTGCCAAAATATAGGCAAAATCTATGGCCAAACATGTGTTTGCCAAATAAAACCCAAATTTATTTTGGCAAAATCTATGGCCAAACGGGTCCTAAGCCTTGGTACAAGTTCGGATCGGCTACATGAATCCTCACTTGCACTCTAGAGAAATTTAGTACTCTAGCTTCGAAACACAGTGGATAACCAGTGTTAATTTAATGAAAGACAACCTATGTCTAGAATGATTTAATTTCTCTTGTTCCACGAAAATAAAAGATAGCCAGTAAGTTGACTCCACTTAGATATTAGAAGTAGCATTTACATTTGACAACATGAACTCTCAAATCTTACTAAGACAACGTGATAGATAAGTTCTGCTTACCAAAAAGCAGAAAAGCAGCACCAAAAGGCAAATCCAAATCAAAGGGAAGTTCTATTTGTATCAAACATAGAAAAAATCTCTTACTTTTTATAAGCTATACATACTTGGCTGTCTTTTTCCCTAGAAGCCAGCACTGAAGCATTTTCCTAAATGTTTTCCCATAATAAGAACGCAGATGCCCTCAAAATATATGATACATCTCATCGAGAAGAGTAAGGAATCCAATCCTGGAGATCCTGCAAGGTTCCAAAGAAGTTGATATCATGTAAGACCAAGCAAACTTGCAGCGGTAAGTAGGCATAGATGCTACATATCTTAAACATAGTCTATCAGAGTTCATTTTTGTGTTTGTACTTTTACTGCGTTCAAAAGAGAAAATTACACAAAGCATTTCATCATTTGAATGAACATAAAAAGGATTCCGTACTGTCAATAAGAAAGTAAACTACATGACTAAAGCGTCCATCCTAAATATCATCAAGAAGAGTAAGGAGTCCAATCCTTATAAGTTGATTAAATGTACTTAGAAGTAGAAAATTCCTACCTAAAAGGTTGTGTCCGCTACCTCTTTATGGTCAAGAAGTGGTGAAAGAAAGTTTTTCGTACATGCTTTAAACCTGGTAATCACCTATAGAAAATTGAACAATTGGTTATTTTTTATGTCTTCTTCATTTTTTGCTTGCTCCATCAGACATAAAACTAGCAGCATATCCCTTTTGTCTGAGAGTAGGTAATTACAGAGTAGATCAATCAACTATCAAAATGAAACAGAAAATCTATATCTTCAAGTAACACTGATAAGACCATCCATTAATTAAACGCTTGAATGTTTTTGTGCTAACAAAGAATATAAGAAATGTGTTAGCTTTAATCAAATGTGTCCTTGTGCCACGCAGGTGGACACTGATTTAGTAGAATCAACTTAAAAGCTTCGAAATTTAACATATCCATGTATTCAGAGTACACCCTTTTGTCCAGTGATACATGAATGTATATATGTTTATTTTAGCTAAAGAACTAGTGCATTATAGTAAATCATAGAATTAGTTTAACCTACTGATGGCGTTAAATAACTTGGCCAAAGATTTATTCTTGGAAGCTTTTAATTGTGAATCTGATTTGCAAAAGTAGCCCAAAACCCAGGCTTCTTTATATGCAATTCATGGGCAATATTACACAAGTTCTACTGGTTTGCTACAGCATTGTAAAGCCAGCCTCCGTAACACAGTGATGACATAGCAATTGAAAACAAACCTCTACATAAAAATATAAATATATTCGATTTGGCTATAGCAATAGTGAATCTTTGATTATAAATTTATAATCAAAGCGAAAGCATGAATTACTAAATTACTACAGTAGAAGACTTAAAATATCCAACTAAAAATCTTAAAGTAATGAGCAAAGCACGAGGGCACGACTATTATAAACTATTTGGAATTTGAAAATGTGGGGATAGATATATTGTTTTAATACTTTCTTGCACATGTGACAATACTTCAGGAAAGAAAGGGGTCCAAATATCTTACCTTACTGTCAGCTGGTAGTGGTACTATTTAAGACACACATGGAAAATAAAAAAGCTCAGCCTTGGGAGATGCTCTCGGAAAACGCATTAATTCTGTTGTGATATTTCTTTCTTCTGTGGAATCAAAGGCTCTATTTTGCTTAATGTTCATCCTTACCAAAGATGGAGTACGAGCAAACAATAGCTTTATGAAAAGCAGTTCCTCTTTTGAACCCATAAACGAACATATGACCGCATGTTTGAGCTTGTTTAACGGTCGGTCCAAGCATACTGGTGTGTCTACATATTTTAAAACTGCATCAGCATTGTTGCTAGTAGTAATGGCCTGATGGTAAAAATAAATACCAAAGTCAGTTTTAGCTTCTCATATGTATATATACACATAACCATATGTACCTTTCTTATCCGAATCTCAAGGTTACTCAAATTGGGGGAACAATCAATTAGTTGTAGAGCACAAGAAGTCTGACCCAATTTGCCAAAGTCTACACTTAACGTTAGCTTCCGCACACAGTCGAGTGTAAAAGGAAGCCCCTTAGGAACTGTGTTTGCACTCAAAAGCTTTGGAGCAAATACAATAATTAGAATCACGTGTATATGATTCTCATTTTAATATATCCAAGCCAAAAAATGTTTGTTTCTTACCTCAAGGAAATACGAATCCAATTGAAGTACCTCAAGTGAAGGCAAGCGAAGAAGAAGCTGTTCCAGAGTTGATCTCTCAACATATTTCACACTATCAACCACTTTGCCTACAAGTCCTAACCGTTTCAACTTTTTGCAGTTTGTAAAGCAATTTAGCTCAAGATAGTGACTCTCACAAACAATCAAGGACAACAACTGCGATGAAACAATTTTCAGGTGTTGAATGCCATCACAGTACTTCAACGTCAAATTGGTAAAAAGGGGGGCCTTGATAACAAAAAACTCTGAGGCTAGCACAAAGGTTACTTTTGACAGATAGAGTGTTATAAGATTGGGAAAGCCTAGAAAAGAGGTTGGTGGTTTGAAGACACAGTTGAAGAGTTTCAAACGTGTTAGTGTTGGACAATTAAATATATAAAAAGGCAGTTTATAAGAAGTATTATTTGACATGTTAAGAGTTAGCTCCTTGACGCCATTTCTGGTAACATAGAGCATCCATCTATCAATATCTGGATAAGGAGATAAAAATGTCATTGAAACATCAAGGATAAACTTCACTATGTCTCCAGTATGCTGTAACAGAATCTTATCTATTGTGTCTATCAAGTTGAAAGCAGACTTTTTTGTTAACTTAAGGCAAAAATTCTTATCGAGCACTAGATATGGAAGCGTGGCCCAAATATATCGCCATTCTTTGGACAAAATACTAGTTCTTGCCGCTTCTTCTACAGGCAGGAGCTCAAGAATACCATCTATAACATCTCTTGGCAGAGCGCTGATTCTATCTTCTCTATTCCCCTCAACAGAAGTTCTTTTAAGTTGAATTAGTCTTAGGCATAAAAGTTAAAATCCAAAAAGAAAAAAAACGCAGAATCATATATACCTTGGGTCATGATGATTCTTAATTACAGAGCAGAACAGTACAGTACCCAAATGCAAAAGCTGCTGCCATCATGCACAATTAAAATGACATGAGACAAATTTTGAGTCTAATAAATTAAAGTAATAAATATACATACATATAGTAAGTGAAGATATAAATTTTAGCTCTTCAAATGATATTTACTCTCCGGCGTTCTCAACAACAACAACAACGAACCCAGTGTATTCCCATAAATGGAAGGGCAGTGTGTAACCTTAACCCTATCTTACAGAAGTTGTTTCCGATAGATTCTCGGCTCAAGTAACAGTGGAACAACTTGAAATCTCGATGAATCGAGGAGAAAAGCATCTACCCTTTCGAAAAAAGATGGAATGGCGACCTGTGGTAAGAGAGCCTTTAGCACAAGAGCGAAGGATGACGACTGATTCAATTGCCCTCTCTACTCAATTGATTGAATATAGTTGCGTGAAGCAGCATAAGTGCTAACCTGATCTAAGGAAGGAGGGGAATGCGAAAGCAAGGCTATTCCGGGGCGTCAAGCGTTCTCAATTAGTGAATGAATATGCAATACTATGGCTCATTATTTTGAGTTGCTCTCAATCTTCATATTTCATTCATTTGTTAAAGAATCTTGAGTGTCAACAGTGCTAGTTAGGGAATTTGAGCATGATTTGCGCCAACTATTCCCGAGCTATGTGCGTTAGGCGCCAACTAAATAGTGTCCCGCCCGGGGCGAGCCGCGGGAGCCTCAAAGCGAGCCCGAAGAAAGCGTTGTGGTTTTATATGGGGCGAAGTGCAAAATCAGCCAATTTTTAGGACCCTTATTTAAGGAACAGCTAAAACTTACAAAAGTTTATTAAAATTTACAGCACCACTTTAGCATGTAAAAGAGAAGTATGAATGAGACTTACCGAATTAGAACCCTGCTACCCAGAGAGACAGGATACCGTGGCTGAAGAGAGGGAGAGGAAGATAGGGTAAAATCTTTGGTTTTAGGGATTTTTGGTTTGGGCCCTTTGCCTTTCCTTTTTATTGTGATTTTCTTTACTTGTTTTTTGAAGTCTCGGTCCCCCAGACAAGGAAAGATTTATTAAACATCAAACAGCGAACCAACGAAAAAAAAAATTGAAATTTGATGTTTTTATCTCAATTTTGATATAATTTTGTGAAGATTCGAGGTGATTTTTGTTAGAATTTCAGTTTGAAACTCGAAAAAGAAGACATATGCAAATTGTATATATTTTATATGTCGGGTGTATAAATGACATACAAAATATATACAAGTAATATAATTGTATACAAATTGAATTTAAAATTATAATTTTTTACTGTACTTTCTGTAAATAGGAAAACTTAGATAAACCAGGTAAATAAGTTTAAAATCTTTGTATATATACAAACAAAAAAAAAGTCCCGATTTTTATAAATAGTTCGGAAAAGAGGACATATTCTCAATCTCTTTTACATTTTAAACATATTAAATTTGAAAAAAAAAAATAAACACGCGACTTTTGACTGGCAAGAAGCAACGACCTTCTAGTAGTAGAACTGCAGAAGTACAGTGAAGTTTTTGGTATATACAATCCGATGATCCAGAATCCCTACTGTTTGTGAATGTAATATTGGCGATTGGTCACATTTGCGATGCAAGGATTTCGTTTGCATCAAAAGAATTATCAGATGGTTGAGGCGGAGTCAGGATTTGAAATTTATAGGTTCAGGATTCTAAATGTTTTAAATTACTGAGTTTTAAATTAATAATTTATACATGTTCAATGAATTTTTTTAAAAATACATGATTTGAACGAAAGCTACTGAGTTCGGCCGAATCCGTAAGTTATACTCTCCATCCGCCCCTGTCAGATGGGATGGTGCTAGGAATGGTAATGGGGTGGACTAGCGGGTTTAAACCTATGCGGGTGCGATGCGGGTGCGATGCGGGTTGAAGCTTATGCAGGTGCGTGCTGCCGTGCGGGGTGGGGCGTATTTGTATAAAAAAGAGATTAAATTAAATGCGTACGGGCGGGTTCTTTACCCTCCATTGCCTTTATATATCCAGTTTTTGGACACAGAAAGACAATTCCTTTTTTAATCAAAATCTTCAAATACATATTGAACCCCATTCTATAGGAAAATTATATCGTTGTTTTTTCTTTTCTTTTTTTTATTTTTTGCCAAAAAATATTTACCTGATTATGTGTTTGATTTCTAGTAATATATTTTTAATTAGGAGTAATAAGATTCTTGGAAAGCAGCTTATAAATTACGTTAATCATTTATTACTATTAGTTCATAGTTTATCAAAACAAAATATTAATCAAATTTCAATACTATAATATACCTTGATTATAAGCACAGCTGCCAATTTATCTTTTCGGGATGTTATATATTTTTTCCATTCGCATGTGCTAATATTTTGTAGATAATGAAGTTTAATTGTCAGATTTTAAAAGTTTTACCTTATATACTAATCGATAAGTGAAATTTTATAGATATCATAAAAATTTTAGTCCTAAACTGTTTTATAAATAGCATAATTTTTGGTTCAACATATTGAGTGAAAAATAGATAACTGGGTCATTAAAATATGTTACTAATCAATAGAAATGAAAAAGGATAAATAGAAAACAAAATTAAAGAAAACTTATGCGGTGCAGGACAGGGTGCAGTACAGGGCGGATCTAGCAAGGTGAGGCGGGACGGGTTGAAAACAAAAAAAAATTCACTATGCAGGGTGGATTGAGCCATTGCGGGTTTAGGCTGAACCCGCCCCACAACCATCCCGCCCCATTGCCATTCCTAGATGGCGCCAGTAAATCATCAAATGCAGTTACTAATAGATAAATAGATGTAGTATTCGGAAATTTATAATTGAAACGATTATGGAAGTTGGTAGCACTGCGAATTTCTTTGTTGATAATCGAAAAAATCCGTAATTTAAGCTTTGAAACGAGATGAACTCTATGTCAAGAATGATGTAATTTTTTTTATTCCAATTTGAAAACAAAAAAGATACTAGTAAGTTGTGACTCCACTTAGATTTTGGAAGTAGCAATTTTACATTTTTAGAAATAGGAACTTTCATATCTTACAAAGTCAAAGTGATAGATAGGTTGTATTTTAGAAAATTGCATAGTTTTGGCAGTCCCTTTCCTTGGAAGCAGCACTGAAGCATTTTGCTGAATATTTTCCCATAGTAACAACATTACTTCACACCGGAGATCAGCCTGCAAGGATCAAAATTAAGAACTTGATATCATCTAAACATAGATGCTACATTAAATTGAAAGGCATGCATACATCCTAGTAATCACCAATAGTAAGTTGAACAATTTGCTTAATTTATAACTTCTTACTTTCTCGCATGCCCCATCAGAAAGTTAACAGCATATTCAGGACAAAAGAAACAGACAAGGAAATTATTCTACTAGAGGTAATCACAGGGTAGACCAATAAACTCTCAAAAATAAAGAGAAGATCTAAAGCTTTGGCTAACAACAAAAAGACATGAACACTATAACCTTGATTTTGTGCTAACAAAGAATATTAGAAAATGTTATTGTTTACCCTAAAAATCGGATAACAATTGAATTTACATGCGGTTTTAAGAATACATGATATAACTTGATACAAATTAAGGAAACATATTAGAATTGAAATTGACGATAAAAGAATAAATGTAAACCACACAAATCGAATAGCCTTACGTCAAACTGTTTACCAAATCGAACAGCCTTGGCCCTCGAGTTCGATCACCCTTGAACCAAGAGATGTCTCAACTGATGTATGAACAGAATTCAAACCCTTGAACCAAGAGATGTCTCAACTGATGTATGAACAGAATAACAAGATGATAAAAGCTAGAAAATGACAGTATATTACTTTATGTTACGTAATGTGTTCTGTGTTACAAATAATCAGACTCTCTTTATATAGTAGGGGAATCCTACTCTTGATACAATTCTATACAATGTAAAAAGTCTCATAATTTTTAATCAATCAGCATATCCTTGATACGTGCCGAGATTTCCGTCGTGATCTACAACCGATCGCGGATATTTCGTCCTTCTGTTATTCGGCTCGGCAAATTTTCCTCAATCTCGTCTGATCTCGATTTTTGTTCGATGACATGGTCTCGAGCTTAACGATATAACTTCGCACCTTGGTTCGATATAATTTGTGGTCGAACTTTAACCTACTATATTTCAGTCTTGATTAGTCACACAAGAGGCAAACCTGGTTTTGACCGTACACAGATAATTTTCTCATTTCTCGGAGAGAAGATGACAAGAAATGATATGAACTTCTAAATCCCCTCTCGATGGGCCATGACGTAAGCGACAAACGGCCACTGAGACACCCGACTATGACGTACGCGACAAACGGATACCGAAACGTCCCGTCGATCCAGTTACCAAGGCATTAAATACCTGTCAGTTGTTGGTCATCCACTACGGGTTCTGAACCGTCATCAGCAAGCTATAGATACCCTAACGTTCATTTATTCAAACTTTACATTCAAAGCTCCTCATATTCTTGTTCTTCAAAAATCCCTTTGCTCACCAACTCTTGCACCCAAATTTCTTGAACTTTTAGCAAGCCCCTAAACATACCTTCCTAATTTCCTTTTCTTCTGTTCTACAATGGCGAAAATATCTAAGACTGTCCCGCAAAAGGAGGCCGCCTCTTCATCACGACCAGCCGGCGACGGGGCTATGGCAGAACCACACCCTGAGGAGTTCGTTCCTGCAGGGTGCCCGACCGTTGCCGATTTTAAGATAGAAAAAACTTCCTCGGTACCGGGTCGATGCGAGCCGATCTCGAGGTACATATGTACGATCACAGATGATCTCCTCACCAAGGTTAAAGAAGATTGCAACTGGGCCAATAAATATGTGCTGGTGCCTTCGCCTGAGGAGTCAATCACTACCCACATAGAGGGTTTTTTAAGTGTTTACAC